AGACCCTGTTCCAGCTCCTCGGGACGTGACGATTTCCTCGACAGAGGGTCCTCGGCCGTGCCCCAGCAGCCGGCAGAGCACGAGCAGTCCTTGCGGGCCAGCAGGCGGCAGAGGGATCGCGCCGGGGCCGGGAGCGTCACCGTCGGCCAGAAAGGGTTTGCGCTGTAGACTTGAGTGGGAAGGCAAGTCAACTTTCCTCACCAAAACAGAGTGTAACAGCGTTCCTATGATCAACAGAACAGTACTTGGTGTACAGGCTTTAGCATCAGTCGTTATCAAAATACACACACTGAATATACAGTTTGTCCCATGGCCATAATTTATTATCTCACCACAAGGCACAATACACAGAGCTTAGAGGGTCCTATACAGTCATCGTGGCAGAAGGCCCCGCAGCCTTTACACATGATCATGGCTTTAAGGCTGCACGAGCACTTGAACGATATCTCGTCAACGCTGCTGCTCTCGGCAAACATCTGCACGGAAAGGGCCGGGTTACGGTTCGCAGCAAAGTTCGCTTTGTGGGTGAGCTGCATCACGCTTCCCGCAAGACTTCTGGGAAAAGCGGGAGTGTTGGATGAATAATTGAAGCCGCTGGAACTGAACTGCAGCTTAGAAAGCTTCCCATAAAACGCTTGCTTGATATTGAGCTGCGAGGGTATGGAAGAAGGCTCCAAAGGGTGATTGTGTCCTTTTCCTGGTTCCCTTGAAAACTTAAAAAACGGCAAGTCTGCGACCAGCGGGAGGCTCTGCAAAGGCGCCGGCGGCTCCCCGGGGCTCTGCGCCGCCTCCTTCCTGTTCTCCGCGTCGCTCTTGGCCGGGCTGCCACGGGCCAACCCCTTCTCCGCTTCCATCCCTCCCGGGGCGGCCGCGTGCTGCTTGCAAGTCCATCCGTCCCTTGCCGCTGGCGTTCCCTCTCCTGGCGCACGGCCCTGCTCCAGAGCACTCTGTCCGCTGGGCGACGAGGTGCCCATGGCTGACGCTCGATCCGAGGCCCTGGAGTGATGCAGCCTGACGCCAGGGCTGCGAGGAGAACCAGAACCAAAGAGTTTTTTGCCTTGAACTCCAACATAACCTGTATTGACCGAGGTACCCCCTGTCTGAGTTGGACCAAGGGAAGTTGCAGTTGGAGCCAAAAACCGAGGCTCTGCAGACGCCTTCGGCTTCTCCGGACTTTTACTTGCAACGACGCTGGTGAAGGCGTTGGGCTGTGGCACCCGATGGACCTTGGGCAACTCCTTTTGCTCCTCGAAGCTACAGGAAGAGAACGTTCTTTCCCGAGGGCCCGTATCTTCAGGCTTCTGAGAGGCACTTGCCACCTTCGCCAGCTGGTCTGGGCAGCTTAAAGCCGAGCTGACCTTGGAACGTTTCTCTGGACCGGACTGATCCTCCGCACCCTCTGCTCCAGGCAACACGGGCCCTGCTCCGCCCCTCTCCTGGGGATCCACGGGAGATCTCGCCGAGTGGAAGTCGTCGCTCCTGCTTCGGGCGTTCGACTTTATTCCTGCGCCTGGGGAAGGCTCTCGGCCAAAACAGCAACTGCCACCTCTCTCCGCTGGCAGGGAGAGGCTTCCTGACCGCTGGCCCAGCGGCGGCCGTGTAACTTCCAGCTTGATGCTGGCGTGAGACACTGGGAGAACTTCCTCCAGCGGAAGGTTTCCCTGGAGCAGCTG